TTGGACCTTGTACTAAACACACAAAACAGACACTTAATAACTTTAGATATCAATAAAGATATTAACTTTTTTTTTTCACTTTTTGCAAATAAATTAAAGAAAACCCTGAGCAATTAGTGTCTATCAGCTCAGCTGAATTCTTTTACTTATGCCAACATTATGATGTGAAAGGCTGTCCTCACTAAAGGAGCCTACCAAAAAAATGTTCTTAAAATTTTTACTAACTGCTGGAATTTATCAGACATTAAACACTAGGACTAATGGTTTTACAAAAAAGTTGTTCTCAATTGTCATATTAGTGTTATTCTCCAGTTTAGCCATTAAACTTTTCAGACACTTTTTCTACCTGTGTAGACTGAACTACATAAAAATATCAAAGTGCTGTAGTAAATATGTGGGAAAATTATGATCCACTTGCTCTATTACTGTGCAAATAAATGTTTTTGCATTGCAACTGCACGAACTTTGAACAGTTTTTCTCTTCGATTTGTCAATATTGAAATTACTATTTTTTGAGAAACATCATAATACATTATTGTCAAAAAAAGGTTTCTTGACATGTTGAGCAAACAGGATGTGCTCACCTGAGATCTTCCCAGTGAAAATGACGTAAGCCTAACAAAAGATGATGTCAAGTTGTCCTCAAGAAAAGCATACGAGTCTTCACAAAGCTGATGATGTCTTCAAAGTAGAACTCAGCTAATACTTGCTTATCAAATAAATCTAAGTTCATATCTAATTAATTTGGTCCCTACCTAATCTCAGGAAGATGTATGTTTGTAGTGACAAGAGAGTATTCCTGCTACCATCATCTAATGCCTTTGTGATAACTTTTTAGAACTATTAGAGTGGTTTCTAACCTTATTTTACAGTAGAGCCATTGCTAATTAATATTGTGAATCTCTTTGATGATTAAATTTCATAGGCAATGAAAGATATTAAAAATAGCATTGACACTTGGGTTGCTGTTTTTTCTGTTGATTTCTTTAATTATAAAGCCTTGCAGTATTTTAGGTGCAGAAATTGCCCAGTCTTGTTGAATAATGTTATTTGAAAATTTTCATACTCCGTTTCTCTTCTCATTCTTCTTTGCTTCATTTTTGTATTGTTGTTACTGTTCCAGTGAATTGATATTCAGCCTTTTTTAGTTTTGAAGATGGGGGTGGGCGGGTTTCTTACTTTGGAAGCAACATGTTTTTGCAGCTGAGGTTTATATTGGGTCTTGTCATGTTCAGATTATCACTGCGATGTGAATAGCAAACAACTTCATCGAATTATTTGTGAGTGACCAGAAACAACTCAGGGCTGAACATTATGACAGTGTACCAAAGTCAGAGACAGCCTTCGTGGGCGTCTCCTCATTTAGCACTAACATGGACTTCATATTTGAAAACCCTACAGGTACAGCTGAGAACTGTTTCTGTAGCAGGCTACGACCAAAGATGAGAGCTTATTTTAATTTGGGGTACGACTGGCTCTTGGAATGTAGCAAAAGTAAATTTAACATCTCTGTTTCTTTAAGGACCATCGAAGAAATGCCGACACCTTTTAAAATTCTCAGTTATCTTACTTTTCAAAAATACAGCAGTGAGGTTCTCATAGTCAATGAATTTTATGGCTTAAACTTCACCTGTGGTAAGTGGTCAAAAAAAAAAAAGGCCTTTAAGTCCATTGTAAATAATTTTAATGAGATGTCGATGCCTATTTTCCTTCTACATACAATAAAGGTATCTTGATAAGTTAAAGATAACTTGTGAGTTGTTAAAAAAAGCTTATTAATTAGTAAAGACTTACTATAATGCCGTATCAGCAAGCTAGGCAAAAGTTTGACTCTTTTTTTTTTCCCCAACCATTTCTCATTCTTTCCGTTTTCCATCTTTCTCTTCTTCATCTGTTCTTTTACCCCCTCTTGGGGGGCCTTTTGGAAGGGCAACTTTGCAGCCTGTGATATGCTTATCAGAGCAGTGTTACACAAATAGAAGATCAACAGCATTGCACAAGGTGAGATCAAACATCAGTGCAGGGAGCGCTGACAGGTAACACCTGCCCAGATGTTTCCTCTCATACTAGTGAGGCTTCAGTTCGAATATGTTACCATGGCATATAGTGAGCAGCTTGGATCTGTCAGGCTGTGAGCCAGGCCGCTGGCAAAACGTGAGAATCAGTCAGGTTGGCGGGGTTAGTAGCTAACAGACATCAGTGGTGGTGAAACTTACAGCTTTGGACCTACCCTAAGATATTTTGGGCTTTGTAGCCAGGTGTCTGTGCTCCTCTCCAAGGCTATATATTCTTTATCCCTTAAACTCTCCTGTCCCTCTTTATTACAAGAGCATAGACGGCAAATCACAGAATGGTCAGGGTTGGAAGGGACCTCTGGAGATCATCTAGTCCAACCCCCCTGCCAGAGCAGGGTCACCTACAGCACGTTGCACATGTTAGAAAATGAATCCATGATTTTGGTAGTAATCATAAACAGCTGATTTTTCATGTGCCCTTCAGACAGTCTCCGTTTCTTGAATTTTGGAAGCGCTCAACAAATATGAATTCTGCAAGTCTACCACATTGGGCAACTTGCTTCTTGAGGCCCCTCCAGATAACGTATCTGAAAAGCCATAAACCTTCTTTGTGTGACAAGAACAAACCAGAAAGCTCCTAGTGACCTTTTATTCTTCTCTTCAAAAAATATGGCATAGATTAACTGCAGAAACATATGGCTTGTCTGTTCTTATTCCAAAATGATGGGAAATACTGCTGCGGGTATAGTTCATCATTAAAATACCATTAGGGCTAGGTGTATTAAACGCATGAGCTGGATACTAAAGCCTGACTTTTAATTTTAGTGATTCACCTACTTAAGAAATTAATTTTTTCTTTTGACAGGTGGATCGAACAGTTCCACTGCAAGTAATGCTGCGTGTATTTTCTCTCAAGGCGTTCAGTTCATTGAAAAAAACTTTCCTGGTGCATTGTCCCGGTTCACAATCGATTTCTTAATACTCTACGCTTTTCTACCAGGACTTGCCATTATAGCAATTCTGAGCTTCAAAATAAGAGAGAGAATTATTGGCAGGCAATAAAACAGTAGCAGTGCTAACAATGTCTAACAATACACTTTTAACCTGATTATGGCTGAAGGCTTAAATTGATGGATTTTAGATAGAATTTAAGTGATTATACATATATAAACACATTCATTTTCTCATGTTTGTTTCTAACTGGGTATTTTCCATCTTGAATGACAATGTTCTCTTAAGAGTGAGAATGTCTTCTGGTATTCCCACCCCACTCCCAAATCAGCCATAATCAATGGTATTACGTTTTAAAATACTTTTTGAATTTAATTTAGTCAGCTGTTGCTGTCAATTTTTAACAATGTAGTGATGGTGCTCTAATTTTTTTTCCACACTATTTTGGTTTTTAACCATTACCGTTAATAAGCAGAAAGGTGTAAGAGCTAGTAGATCTTGTATTTTAACTCCTATGCTTTGTTTTGATACCAGTTTGGGGATTTGTAGAAACACAACAAACCAAATACATGTAAATAAAGACAGAATCAAGAAATCACTCCACTTTAATCTTATGCATACTTTACAGCCAACGAATACAGGATCTTTAAGCAATATAAAAGTTACCTAACTTGGTTTTGTCTTGTAAATGATGGTAAATCACAGAAGACAATTATTTTATTTATTTCTGTTCCTTCTTTTCATTATCAAGTTCTAAACCTTGTTTTGGAAGCAGTTTGTGAATTACTAGAACTTTTTTTTTGTTGTTAATAAAATGTCAATTTAACTAGGGAAAAAAAAAGTTGTTTGCTGGTTCTTGGAAGTGATGTAGTTTGCATCTTTGGAAATTATGCTCACGAGCTCACAAACATCCCACAGAGTCTAATTTAACCATTTAATCAATACAAGTACCTCTGAAAATTGAAAGCCTAACAGATACAGAATTCCTAAATTTTGTAACTTACTTTGCATGTCCAGTGAAGAAATTACTTGTTACAGAGGGACAGCTAGAGATTTCTTTGAGGAGGTAAGTATATTTGTATCTTAAAATTCCATATTAATATAATTAGTTTAATGTGATAGCTTTGAGATGATGCACTTTGTAATGAAGAATTTGAAATCCTCTAGTTAATGCAAGTTCTCCACTTAAGTGTGAGGCCAACATGTTTTTTTAATATCTTTATGTATAATATTCTGATACAAATGTTCTATCAGCAAAACATTTGATGAAATATATTGAAAAATAACATATAACTTTAAAGAGCTGGAAAGATACCACATTAGTTTGTCTTTTCCATTTTTATGCACATGTAGGGTTGTTTGTCAGGGAACATTCTTATGATCTGGTGCGCCAAGTGACTGTTCAGATGTTTATTCTCTAACAACAAGCCTTAGCTCTCAAGAGTCACCTCCAGCTTTAATATAGATCTTGTCTTGCACATTCTCAAAACACTCAGGCCATCTCATAGTAGTGAGGATGTCCATGGACAAAAAGCCGTATCTAGTTTAGGCTAGCATTTCACCAGCTTAGGCTGCACGGGAATCAATTACACTTCCACCACTAACCAGATATGTGTCAAATTGATTAGACTGACTTCCTACCGTTTGAATATTTGACAGAAATGTCATCTTCTGAATTCTGTGCAAAGTTATTACAACATTATACATTGCAAGAAATAATTTCTGTCTTAAGCTGTATGATACTGAAACAGAGATAAAGAAAACTTCTGGATTTTAGACCAGGTCAAACCTGGTTTTAATTGCACTCTATTCTGCCAGTTTTAGTGGAACTATCGTATCCAAACACATCAAACAATGATGCAAATATATTCTTAAGCTTTCCCTTCGGATTACATATGCAAGGAACTAGGACAAGATGCCTAGCATACTTTACTATGCAGTTTTGTATTTAGGGTGTGAAAACTTGCTTATATTTAAATACATGTTTAGGATGGAAGCATTCAAAACTAAATGAAACAATGTGTTAGAAAATAGGTAGAACTGACTAATGCCAGTTTTCATAGTCAGACCCCTCTCTGAATAATCTAGAATTCCTTTCTCCCCACTTTGAAACTCTGTGTCAGTACCAAGATATACTGAAATTTAGACTGAATGAATAAACAGCTATTTTTATTTAAAAAAAATAACAGGAATGCTTAATAAATATTACTTTTTTTAGTTTGATATTGTATATTTTCAACTGCATCAGCTTAAATTGTTAGTATAGTGTTAAAAGGATTACATAATTTTGTAAACGTTAAACTGAAGACACCTATAGCCGTTCATCAATCAGAGTCAAAATCCATTTCTTTCCAGGATTTAGAGGCATTCCTTTTGTATTGTTCAAGTTCCTAAAACAGAAGCATACACACATATTAATCTAATCTCCTCATTATTACAAGTGATAAGATACATATGCCACCTAAACATTTGAAGTATGTACAAACATTTTTCACTGTAGAAAAAAACGTAATATACCTTTTTTAATTTTTAAGAAAATTATACTAAAAGTGCTATAAATTTTGCCACATTTGCTGTCACATAGGGAGCTAGAATTTCTTTATTTAGGCCTAGATACTTGCTTTCTAGGGTGGAAGAAATTTTGGGTGGTGTCTTAGACATTCAGTTTGAGAAACCAAGCTCCCTATGAACATACAAAAATGTAACACTACCTGTGTTTTAAAAACAGAAATCAGAATTACCCAACAGAAACTATTGTTTCACACACATGATTTCAGGGCCTTTCAAGACACAAAACAGATTGATAATTCCTTAAGATCACGGAAAAGAAACTAGAAGAACAAAGACTGCTTTCTTCTTCTTTTTTTTTTTTAAGCCCAGGACTGAAATGAATTTCTGTAAGTTTATACGTCGCCAGAGGTGATAACTTAAGAGCGCTGACAGAGGACCTTAGGAACCCCTGCAGAACCCAGGCTTGTCCAGAAAGCAGTAAGCACAAATACATTTTAGAGGAATGCAACGGGTGTTTAGGAAATTGACGTACTATGTCGATTCAATCTGGATACTTGATTTGGATATTCTCCAAATATCCAAATACTGGATATTTGGAGCAATATTATTCATCATTGCTTGAGGTTTTTCAGGAAGTGTATTACTGATGACAATGATGCCATGCTTTTACTTTTGTTTTGTTTTTCAGTTAGTAGTTTAAAATATTCTTTCAGGTGCTGCTGTTTAGTGGATTGAAAAGTTAGCATCTGTGTGTAAAAATAAAATGCAAACCCAATGTGGTAATTAAAAACACACATCTTCTAGATAGGAATTAGATTATTAAAACAGAGGCTCAAATTGTGGAGGTATAAATCAACCAAATTAGGTACGAAAGATGAAGCAATCCACATTATGCTATACTTGACATCAGCTGAGTACTAGCATGGTAGACAAATGACCTCATTTCAGTCAAAAGTGCTACTGGGCATTTTGAAACCTGTAAGAAGAGGTTCTAACAACATTATCAAACAAGAATTTCATCTTCTGAATTTTATGTAGTGGTGCATACTGCTGGGAATTATTTCTGATTTTTTTTCCACCAAAAATTTATTTAGAAAGTACTACGATTGCTTTATGTTCATTTAAGAATAAGAAGGCTTCCATTGTATTTGCAGGAAGAGGATACTCTAATGAGTATCTGCTTGCGATACAAAAAAGGTCATCATATCTTACTTAGATCAGGAAAAGAGGTGGACATAAACCAATGATTAGTATAAATGTAGCAAAGACCCTCAAAAGCGGGTATGCATTTTATATCATTGCTATTCTGATTTTAATAGAATGGACTTAACAGAGTAAGGGAGAAATCATCATCTAAAACTTGTATGGAAATAATAAATGGAATTTTCTCTCTCTCCGGATAATCACTTCAGCAGCTTTGTCAGCAGTGCAAAATTTTCAGAAATCACCACAGATTTATGAGCAGTGAGAGCATTTTTAATTAGTGCATATTCCTCCAGTTGCTTGCAGGAGTCTTGTTTTACAGTTAACTCATGACTGACACAGAATATATTGTGTCTAGTCTAAATCTAGTAAGTTGCATTATTAAGTACAACTCTAGTACTACTGAAGTGTTCTATCTCTAAGCCAGTCTTTATTTTCACTCCCTCATTATTAGTATAAAGTAATTATGATCTTGGAATATACTGAGCTGTTGGAAACTTGCCAACAGTTAGGAATAGAAAGAATACTGTAATATTTTAAGAAGCACATGTAACCTGATTTATGCTAAGTAAATAATTTCAATTCTAACAACTTTCTTAAAGGCTACAGGAAGGGGTAAAATTAGACAGTTTCACATATAAAGACAATGCTGAAAGACAATGCTGTCTGGGCATTATGTCTACAGGTGTTGCCTAAATAATTAGCCTTAGAGATTTATCATCTGACTAAACTTTCAAGAAAGAGGTAGATAATTTAGCAGAATTTATTTTGCTGTAATTTTAGCTAGCTAGAAGGCAATTCAGTGTAAAGGCAATTCAAAACAATACAGAAATGCAAAGTATCAAAACCACAGCATGTATTAAAACTGTAAAGCTATTTCACTACATACAGAAGTACAGAACAAATGATAAATGATAAATATTTATTTTGGAGACATATCTAGGTAAGACTAATGTTTAAATAACGAGAAATGAAATTTAAAAAAGGATTAGACAGGAGGATATTTACAAAAAATAACCTTTAACAAATTCAGTGATTCAGGAGGAAAAATGCTGTCAGGAAACTACATGTCCTTAGTTTTCATGTAAAATAGGAAGCAAATAAATCCCCGTAAGACAGAAATGTAATGGAAAAATCTTTCAAATACAGCTTAAAGATCGCTTCAGAGACCCTTCTGAAAAAGCATCATAAAGTCCTATACTACAAATATAAGCAGAATTCTGGAATATACTGTCACTATACAATCAGTTAAGAGATCCTCTCTCCAAACTGAAGGAAGCTCCTATGAAAGAACGTATCTCAAAGTACGCCAAAATGTTCACGCTAGCATTATACTTCCTTCGTTTTCTGGTTACCGAGTGTAGGGGGCACAGATCAGATTTACAAAGAATTAACAATTGCAATTTAAATATGCTTTCAATGTGCTCTGAGTGCTTTAAACTTTATTAGTGCTAGCAACTTGTCCTAGATATCTTAACAGTGGCATAAAGAGGATTTTTAAATTTTTTTTAACCTTCATGCTTCTTTACTTTTGTGTTTCTATAAATTCTTCATCTGTCAAATGGGGAAGATCACACATAATCTCATAAAATGATTGGGAAGAAAGACTTAACTGATGTTTGTGAGGCACTCGGATAAGATAACATTACCGCACATTCTCAGAGAAAAAAAATTAATACTTTTGTGTTCATTGAAGTGTCTGAATGGCAGGTTGAGAAATAAGGTACAAAAAGAATAAGGATGATGAAAAGAAATACTGAACAATTGAATTGAGACATCAGCAAAATAGTATATGATCATGTAATTAAAGACAATACTATAATGCCTACAAACAAGGAGGAAAAATTAAGATTGTAGGAAAAGCCTTAATTGTTGCACTTCCTCAGTTCTGAGGGACTGACATGACTTTAACTTTCTTTTTTCATGCAGCTTCTTACTGAAAGCGCCCTCAATCTGGACCATGGTAAAAATAACCAAGTACTGAAATAAGGATTAAAAATCTTAGGCACCAAACTGCAGTAGGAAATTTAGTAACAGTGCTCTAATAATGCTCTTTACCTTGGTTTAAAAAAAAAAAATAATCTTTTGTACCCACTTGGACATGCTTTCATGTGAAAACAAGAAAGCTTATTCTTGGCAGCTGCGTAAACATCCTAAATAACTTTTTCTCCACCATATGAAGACTAGCACTTCTCCTCTGGAGAAAACAAAAGATGCTATTGCTCTGTTACAAAAACCTTAGAAAAGACATTGTAGAGTACCTACCTCTATGGTAGAGAGCATTTCTTAAGGAAGCAAAGCAGACACCCCCATGTGCCATTTCACTGCCGCCAGCATTTAGATGGAACTAAGGAATGAGACTTTCATGCAATCCTAGGTGCTCACAGATGCAGGTGGTGTATGTGCAGCTCTAATCAACAATATTATTTTAAAAGATCTCACTTTTATTCAAGTTATGTGTGTACCTAAAGTGAAATTAAGGTGACCTTAAAGCATCAAAAGCTAAAAAACCAGCAGGGAATGGAGAGAAATGGATGACAAGTTCGCCATCTTGTTTGGGTTATGTGGGCTGTATGAACATTTGTAACGTATGTACACATTTAAGACCTAATAAATATGCAAAATGAATCTTTTTCTTGACTCTTGAAAGCCCTGCAAAGAGCACAAAATTCCAGTGATTCCCAGAGAGAATCTGCTAATCAAGAAATAAATTAAAAATGTAAATTCCAAAAAGGTCCCAGGTGCTGTGTCTTCTCTCTCTGAGCTTAACTCCAGAAAATGAAAAAGCAGTAAAGAGTTGCAACAGCAGTATGTGATATAAACCTGCACGTTGCACGTCTGTGGGATAAGAACTAGGAAAAGAATTCAGAAAGGACATAGCTGAGATGGAGAGATGTGCTCTATCTTGAACAAAGGCACAGTGAGGGAGAGAGGCTCAGAGAGTTTTCCAGAGCACAAAGGCCGAGGAGGACAGTGGGTAGGTCTCATAGTTAACTCTGAAAAAATTAAGGAAGCAAAATAATCTGGTCTAAAAGAAAACACTCTTGTGACAGGGTACTGATGAAATGGACTCTTAACTTCTACAGCCAAAACAGCGTATCAGATAAATACTAGCTGTCAGCTAGTACATGAGAGCGAGCCAGGTACTTTCTTGTTTCTGTACTTTATTTTTTTAAACTGTTTTCTAATTTTATACTCAAGCATTTAACCTTTTGCTCTGCTAGAATGTACAAACCCTAGCTGCAGACAAACCCTTCAACCAAGGTTACAAAGTTGGAACTGATTTAATTAAACTTTGTATTGCCACAGTTATCCATAAATCTATTACAGTATTATTAAATAGTCCTGACCAAGACTAAGTCAGTCAGGTATGCTAGTTCTTCTATCAGACTCACTGACAAGGGCTGTATTTAGTTTCCGTTGATGTAGGTTTGTGTTTATTTTTCCTTTAAAGCTTATCTTTGAGATAAACAAGCAAACTGGTTATCACCTAGAGTCCAAAGTGGCATATTAATTAACCAAAAGTAACCGCGAAAAATGATAACTTGCACTTAAATGATGTTAAAACATACACTGTCGTCATATGGAACTTTCATATTGCATTATGTCGCCTGATTTCATTAGCGACATGTTGCATATTAAACATCTTAATATACTGTTCCTCCTACACAATAGATGAGACACTATAAAGAACGTCAGACTCACGATGCATTTGAAATGTTCCTTTAAAAACAGGATTTTTGTGCCACTTTTCATATAACTGGCAAATCCAAAGACACTTCAAGAATCACTGCAACTACAGAGTTCTTTTCTTTCAAATGTATGTTGCTATCTTGGTGCATTTCAAATCGAATTAAATTCTTGGAGTATAAAAGATTTTAATAATGTGCAAATAATCTTGTAATAATTTAACTTCATGATAGAGAAGTTTAGGAAACAGCTGCAGATAACAAAAGTAATTTTCTCTTTAATGCTCAAATTACTTGTAGTAGTCTAACTAAAAGAAGCTACACTGGTTTGCAATGCCCTTGAACAGATTAAGATTCTAAAAGACTGTCTCTTTTGTTTAAAACCAGAAAATTAATCATTTCCTGTATGATTTAATCAATGCATACCAGTATCTTCTTTTGCAAGACATAAGTATTATCTAAAAATAACAAACCTAGTACACCATATAGTTATTTTGAGATATACTGACTATGAGATTACATTATAAATTCCAAAAGGAATGCGCTTTACAAATTTTAATGATTTCTAAGACTGTTCTTGATGTAACAGAAATTCAGAACTGATGCCTACATTAACAGGATATTACAGGTAATGTGCAAGTTCAAAGACTGCAAGGGATTCTTGAAATTGCTTTATTCTTTTACATTATTAATGTGTTTCTTTGGATCAGGTAACTACAGGTTTACTGCCTTATGCAATCTAACTAAACTCTACAAAAATGTGATAGCAGTAATAATCTAATGCTTTGGCTTTCTTTTACAAGCACGCAAAGATGAAATTTGCCATGGTATTTTAGGGTTAGTTGAGATTAACTGCAGTGCAATTCAATAAAACCGCCTTTCATCTTAAGAGTGGGGGTCTGTAAAGGCATGTGATTGGTACAGTCCATCATTTTAAAGCACTGTTAGAAAAACCTCCTTTAAGCGCAGTAACTTAGTCCTCGAGCAAGTTAAACGGTGTGCAAATAGCCCACATAAAAGCTTTGAGAACAGAGTGGAATGTTTCTGTCATTCTAGCAAAGAATTTTCCGTGTGTGAAACAAATCAATCTGTATGAAATAGAGGGCTCCCAGAATAAGTATGTGATACTTCTTCCAAACAAAGAAAAATACACAAATCTTGGATTGATTTTAACAGACCCATGCCTATGATCTTGATGAAGACTATAAACAGTATCGCTACTTATGTGATGTCATACCCTGGTATCTATAAGGCAATGTTCTAACCTTGTCTAGTTTGCCACAGAATTTTTCTATAAAATTAATTCACCACAAATGTAGGAAAATGCAGAAACACTTCAAAATTAGTAAGAAAAAACAAAAAACCTTTTCCCCACTAAAGGTCTTTTCTGTAATTCAGGGGTTAAGCCAAATGTCACTATGAGGAATAATTCTGTTCACTCTGTTTAAGATAAAACATACACTGCCTGCAAACTCGAGTCAGAAGTGTCAGAAATGTTATCATCTCAGCGCCTTTCCAGTTCAAGTAAAAAGCTTTGAAGGAGGAAGACAAAAATTAAAAAAGTAAACAGCCCCCACCCCAAACCTTCGTTCCTAGACTTTCTGCTAGTCAACACCCAAATGAGAGTACAGGGTGCAGAAATGAAGACATTACTGCCAAGAAAGTGTTGCAGCTTTGCATCAATATTATTTTAGTGAAATAATTCTGAAAGAGAGAAAATTTGACTTTTTCATTTCTAAAGAAACTACAAAGCCAAAACTTTGAGATCTAACAATCCTCTACTGGCTTAATATCTACCAATAGGAAAAAAACCCAACCAACTACTAAGCTGAAAACTGAAGTTGAAGTTATTTAAACTCAAAGAGGGGACAACGAGTATATTCTACAATTCATCAACAGTGATGGTTCTGGAATACCTGGCTGTGAACAGCAATTGGAGAACAACAACACACCTGGTTTTTCTGAGCTCTCATAACATCGACTTCATACTCAGCGTATTGTAAATCCTGTGCAGGGTCCTTGGTATCTTGTAAATCACAGAAATTCTAAAAGAAGAAATGACAACAACCCAAATGATAAATTTTATCTCCTGTTCTTTTAACAAGAAAATGCCACGCTCTAGATCTAATGGAATTATTTGCTTTTCATACAAATGTATTAAAATCCTGCATTTATGGAAGAATTTTGTGCTCTAGGACACAGATTAGACAAAAAAGTATCTTAGATTTGTAAAATGATGAGAAAGTAATAGTGCAGTTAGATCTTAAAGGAAAGAAAATATTCTTTTTTGGTAGTTGTTTATTATTCTCTCCTCAAAATGAAAATAGCCTTTCTGGCCCACGACATTTGGGCATAGTTAAGGCTACTCTTGCTAGAGCAATTCATACTCAAGACTTGAATTCAGTTCTGGTTACCAGAAGCATTACTTCAATAGCTGATGCAAATACACTAACAGAAAGAAACAATATAAAATAAAGATTATTTTTTTTAAATGTTGTCCTGCACATTTCTCCTTACTCATAAAAAATGGAGAGTAGGAAATGGAAAGAGGGCAATCATACAAATGATGGAATAAAATAAAGCAGAATTATAATTATTATTAGATGAGGCGATGGAAAAAGAAATTCACGATACATAAAACCAGCTTTGAAGTTTAAAGCATATTTTGGAACCAAAATAGAAGACTGGGAATCTATTTGGCAAATCTCCTTTAATTAAACAGACACCTCAGAACACTGACAGAGCTTGCAAGATGAGAAACGTACTCATTTCTCCAGCTGTTTCAGGGAGAGTTTGGGAGTTATTGGGTGGGGGGAGGAATGTTTGTTTAGCGTATTTTAAAAGGCTAGAAGCAAAAATAACATGAAAAATAACAGTCCTGTACAGTTTCTGAAAAATAAAGTTTCGTCTTTATCATGTTTGGGCTGACTGTACTGAGAACAGCAGCTTAGTCATAATTTATTCTGGTCACAAACCATCTGAAATAGTTTGTAGGCTTTGATATGTATCAGTCAAGTGAGTGGGAAAGTGTCACTTCAGACTCCTCACCAAGAATGGAGATCCACAGACTGAAAACTAGAGAAAGCCCAGTTTGTGCACCATAATTTGAGGCTCAGTTTCATAGACCTGACTGATTTCCTTGCCTGCCTAGGTAAGCCGTAGGGCAGGAAACGGGCAGGGATAAAGAACTGTGATACAGTCCAGTACACAACGAGAAAGCAGCTGCCTGTATTTGCTCAGGTCAAATAGAAGCGAATTTTCATTTCCTAACAGCAGCAATTACTCTTATTAAAAAGAAGTATTTGGGGGTTTGCCTCTTGGGACTAGGAACTTCTCATACACGTACAAGATTTATTGCTACCTAGATGCCAAGGGATTCTAATTACCTTGGAAACCCAAACACTTCCTACAGCAAAATGACAGATTTTGGCAAGGAACTCTAACAAACTCGCCTCATTCAAGGCTTCGTGCCCTAGGAGAATGCAGATCAGCATTTTGCTGCAGCCACGAAGAGCTCTCCTCCTGGAACATCACTGTCATTTCGTTTAGGTATTAGGGAATATGTCACATTATAAAATTTCAGAAAGGTTGAATACAGCTTGTCTCTAAATATGATGAAAGGCAATGATCTAACTTTGGAAAAACCAGAGGGTTACATCAGTACTTTCATTATTACTAAATGTAGGAAGGTGACTGAAGATGCAGAAGCTAATAACCAAAGCACTACTACATACAAATCTGTATCTTTTGAAAATGTATGTATTAAAGAGGTTGGGAGAAATGTGACTGCTGAGTGAGAGAGACTGAAATTCCAGTCACTGGACTCGAAAGACAAAAATTAGTAGTGATGTTACTACTATCCTATGAAAAAAGAAGCTGTGCAGCAGACACGTAAGTACCTACCTTGGGTGGAAATGTTTTCTCAAATACTTTTTTCCACAGTTCCAGCGGTGTGTTTGCACGCATCTTTCCAATATCACTATCAGAGGCAGGTGGTGGTCCTAAGGATTACAGCACAGCATGAAGTAATACAAGTATGTTGTCATAACAACATAAATTATCAAATAGTTTTGGATAATGATCTAATTTAATATTTTATCTTCCACAATGACAAGCTGCAACAAGTCTGAAAAAACATTGATCTCCTACCATGAAATGGGCTGAGTGGTATTGTATCACATTTTCTTTTATAGCTAAGCTTGTTGGTACTTTACTATTTGAAGAAGTTCTGATACTTGATTACACTACCTAACAAAACCGCATAAGTAGTTCTCAATAATATAAATACCGAATCCTAATTTTAAACTTTCTAAGCCATTTCATTCGATAATCTGTTAAAACTGATGCTGATGTGCTATAATTTAACTTTTTTTTTTCTTGGGTTTTTTTTTTTTTTTCATATACAATTAAGCAACAAACATGATGAACAGGAAACGTCCTAACCTATTTGGCTCAGCGAATCCAGGCCTGCTGGTATAAATAGAGGTTTGCTGTGATCCACTGATACCGACTTGCTAAACAGAAAAAAGAAAATGTATCAAGTGAGGATTTTACAATCAACAAAAAAAATGACATTATTCTACCCACAACCTGACTCTTACTGGGCTTTGCACACAAATACATGTAAATAAAAATCTACTCAATTCTAGTGGTGACCAGGTTTCTAATCCATCGGTTTTGGCATCAAAACCAAGGAGTTATCACTGTCCTGTGCAGAGACAGGCAGCTGAGACACAAGAGTAAAAGTCTGTAAACAAGAATCTTTCAGAGATCATATTTAAGAAAAAAAAAATCTTTTGGTTATTAATAAATTTTTTATTAAGTACTTTTAGACTCTGGGCAAGACATTTAATAGTTGGACAATAATTACGTTACCTTTTATCATAGCCAAATGCCAAGTGATTAATAAGAACACGGGCTTTCAGCAAAAGAGCCTCAGATTTACTGGTAAACTAAACGAATCAGAAAACAAAATAAACATTATGATCTTCCATCATAGAAATATTGCATGATGTCATCTACATACAGGATTTCAGATAGAGCCTGGCTAATTCCTAACCTCAATAAATTTGGTATATGTCCACTGAATTTACTAGAATAAAAATATCACCCTCCCTTTCCAAAACATTATTATATTTGTCACTGAATATATAGATCAAGAAAGATTAAATGAAAAATAGTATAAAGGTTAAAGAATAAATTTTAAAATATTGATTCACAATTTTTGAAGTATTCGCATTAAGAGACACAGTTTTTCTGCTGAATACTAATGAGTTATTAAGATTTTAAAATACATTCAAGATTTTCAAGAATACCATAGACATTTAGAAATATAAGGAATAACTAAAATTGTGCACACATCATAAAAGCAGCTTGACAGCGGCAGAACTAGTACAGTTTTATCAAAAAGCAGCTCCCAAAATATCTTCTCAAACAGCATGCTTATTCCTGTCTAGGGGCTTTTGTATCCTAACGGATTCATGGCTTTGAGAAAGAGGTCAGATCTCTACTGTAGGAAATTAAGTTTCTCCCACTCATTTCAATGGGAATCAGAATTTAGCAGTCAAGGAGTTTTAGGCTCTTAGTTCTTCATTTTTAGTTACAGTAATGCTTAAATGCTTAAAAAAAAAAAAAAAAAAATCAATCAAGACAATTGTATTCTCAGTTAACAAAAGATGAATTCAGGTGTCAAAGTACAAAAGCTGTACAATTTTACATGTATGCAAAAGGACATGCTTATAACAATTTAAAACAAACGTAAGTGGTTTGATAATCAAAATAAGCCACTATTAAATATTATTTATTACATAAATTATGGTTGATACAATTAGAACCATATTCTGATGTACAGAGAGCGCATGAAGCAGCTTTTTTGGATTGTGAACTTAAGCACGCGTGTTTCTGCCTTTACTTGAGATGATCTGCCAAACTCAGAATCAACTTATATACCCACATAAATTCTTCATAGTCTTAATGGTTAGCAGTTCCTATTCATTACTGTAAAAAAATCGCTGCCTTTATTCTTCAACATTCTAAGTGTGGTAATCCGGTATTCTTAAACTGCTGTGAAGATGAGCCCTTGAATCTAAGTTTTTAAATCTACCAAAGGCAGGTCACTAGACTTTCTGCTTCTGCCAAAAAGGCCAGTTCTCTAATTCTATCTATGGCGATCACTTTTTCCCTGTCCTCCTTTCTTGTACCAAAAAAATTTTGCTGGACGTGCAATAAACCCAATACAGGAACTGAGTTGGCTAACAGATAACTGGTTCTATTTAGTTTCTGCTGATACTGGGAATTATGTAGTTTGTTTGTTCACAAGATATATCCATGCATCCGTCCGTCCGTCCATCCATCCATCCCCTGCCAATGCTTGTAACCCATTTGAGAGGTTAGCTTATGAACAAAGCTACTATAAAGCCAATGAAATCCCATTTTCTCTGGGAGTTTTACACTTCTATTTTTTTAAAATATTGTTTTGTAACACAAATATTGTTCATCTTCTCTATCCTTAGTTAGAAAGTGAATATACACACCACTAATGATGCTCCATAATAATGTGAAACAAATCGAAGCGTCTTGCTTATTATTTTCCTCATTTCAGAGTCAAACTCCTGAAATAGTTGATATGGGAACATATAGATTAGAAACAAAAAACCAAAATATTACAGCTAGAACTTTTCAATTTTTGTATAAACTGCAATGCACTTAGGCGACAATATACGAGGCTTTTAGCTGTCAGCATAATTGTATCTTAAGACAGAATCAGTAACAGCCTACTCTGAAAAGAAATGTCACAATTTCCCTTTGTTTCTTTTTTACAGAGGGAGACTAATTCAGGCAATATGTTAGTCCAGAAAAAGCTTCTTAATTGAGAATACGTATTCAATTTTCAATTAATTTGTTTCATTTTGTTTTACATTTTCAAAGTAGAAACACTGTGTACTAGAACAATGATTTTTTTTCTTTTTGTGAAAATGTTTAACTTTTAGTAAACCTTTGGGTATATGCTCTTTAAATTCTAATACCTGCAAGATGTGAAAGGTGCATAAAAATAACTTCTCATCAATGTTTCTTTAATGTAAGATCATACGGATGGCCTTCCCTGGATAAAGTGGGTGAAAACCCAGTTCCAATGAAGCCTGCAGGATTCTGTCCATAGACACCGATGGAATGGGCTGTTATTCTGTGCTTATTACATGAGAGTCACTGATTTTTGAAGAGGTCATGGCTCAGCATAAAGCCTCAGTATGAAAGAAGACACAGTACCTTATTAATAAAGTATTAACTAACTCAAAGAGTCAGCCAAGTATCAATGCACTATGTAGTCATCCAGAGAAGCACAGGCTGCCAGCACAGCAGCTAAAAACCAAACATACTGTTCTAGTTTCTCATGATCAAGTGCTGCTTGAAAATTGCATATGCGTTTGTTTGGATTTTTAACATCCTGGGAGAGAATCCAGCAGTACTATAACATTTCTCTCCTCTCCCCGCTAGAAGATGCAATTACTCACTTGTCTCTAAAAACTTAAGTAGCACTTAAAAAAGTTCCAGACTGAAATGACAGTTTACTATTCGTGCTGCCACAACTACCAAAAAATGTGACCATCTGACTTGAGGGATGCCCCTCTTTCACTGCCATAAACTTACAGCTGCTGTCAGAAGGGACACATGGAGCTGGATTTCTCCCATTATAGAAGGAAGTCATCACGTTTTCTTGCTTCCCTCTCTGGTCTGCAGCAACTTGTATCTCAACGTTTCCCAAGTACATCTCAAAAATCATCAGTTTGGGAGTATTTTGTGAAGGAATGACAGTATGCGTTCCATAATGCTGTTGGACGGAAAGATTTGTGTGGTAGAAGGCTGACTGGCCATACTTTTCTTCAAATGATTACTATTATATTACAAAGATTTTAGTATATAGAAACTTTACCAGGAATCTTTTAATTATTAAAAAAATATTAAGTATTACTTACATGAAAAATATCATATTTGCTTCCAATTATCACCAAGGGTATTGGAAAAGGGTCAACTAACTCATAATCCTATTAAACAAATATATGACAGTTAAGCAGCGTAAAAAAACTGTAGAAGATTGCAACTGTCAAAACAACTGAAAGGGGTTAAAATTAATTCACAGAAGACAAGGTCTATTTTTTCAAAACCTTATGTTGGATGAACAGACTTTAATGCAATGTCCATCCTATATTCTACAATTTTCTCATTTTCTTCATAGATGGTCACGAAATAATCCCTCTGAGCAGTCAGAACACTTACTGGCATAAAAGGGTTCTTACTCTATATGCTCCAGCTCCAACATTAGGTGGGAAGAGAAGAGAGGAAAAACCCCATATATTCACAGACCAAATGCCAGACTGGATTAGTAGAACTGGCTCTTTGACACATTCCCCCTCCTTGCATCGTATCCAAAATAATACGGAAAAAAGTCCACGAAAATTAAGATGGATTATTTTCTTGTGTCACACATTTGTCCTCCCCACATCACATTTTCCAAACTCTTAAAAAATATTTAATGTGATTTTCAGTTGTTTGATATCAGCAGCAAGAATAAATGTCACCTAGCAACCATAAAAATGCAAATCAATACCAATGGATGAAAACAGCTATGGGGCTGTAGATTTAACGGTTAAATAGTTAACTTCTGATAAAAGTTTTAAGAAGTAGATTACAATAATTCTGAAGTTATCTGGAAGGTTTTCCCGTAATGAATGAGACAATGCCCTCATGTTATTATTAATTATTATTTAGGCAAGCTGCAGCAGAGTGAAAAAAAGATGTGTTGTAGCAGAGGTTGACCTAACTGTTCCCTTCTGAAACCAGCTATTTCACATACAGGTTAAATGACACTCAATATAGTAGGAAGAAGCTGCAGGAAGATACTGAAAATCCTCTGCTTTGAGACAAAAAATAATGGCTTCACTCATACATTGCGTCAAGGCAAAAGCTTTGAGCAAAATTATCATAACTTAAACCTGGATGTATAGAATATAGAACTGAAAAAAAAATAGTTTTAGTTTCTTAACTAAGAAAAAATTGATTTGGGGTAACATCAGAAATATTTAAACTGGCATACTGAACCCTATTCATCTTTTGACTATGGAATTAATTTTTGACTCTGGACTACTGGAGGCACACCCAGCCTTTTTAAACAAGGTCTGCAATTGATATGCTTTATCATCATAGCCAATACTCCTTTATCCAGGCCAATGGAATATATCTAATCCATAAAGAAAACATCTAAGAACCTCATCAATTCCTGTTTATCATAAGAATACATTTAGCTATAAAAAGGCAAATAAAAATCTGCGTAAACTGTCATTTGCTTTGACTATAAAAGATAGTATTTCCTCCCACAAAACTGACATAATTTTTTTCTTGAACAATGATGAAAGTTTAAAGAGAACTAAGGAGTAACATAACATTTTGTTTGCAAATGAAAGCTTTATAGAAATTCTAGTTTAGAAGGTATAATTGTGTTCCCTACAGGGTAAGTATAACAAGTCTTCTCTTCTTAACAATTAATGGCATTATTCTTTTTACTTATTGAAAAAAAGGTTGCCGTTTTCTGATATGTAAGCTTCCATATGTAAACTTGACACTGCGATCATGATTTATTGCCAAGTGTGCTTGTAGGCATTTTCTTTTTGTGAATTATCTTCTCTAAATGCAAAAAGCAAAATCATAATCCAGCAGACCTCAAACCCTGAACTCTAAATCTACTGAGTGGTGCATATGTTGCTTTATCAAAAATTTTAAAAGTTACTTTTCAATTTTTGAGCTATCTAAGCATTTGCTGTATTGCAGCATTTTATAGAAGTTTCAGTAAGTAGATTTATGTGCCAAGTCTTTGAATTGTTGAATACGTATTTATGCATTATATACAGACAACATTTGCAGAGGTTTAATGCACAATGACTTTTCATTTCTATTGCGCATAATCTAGTTTAGCTTTTCGAGAGATTTAGTTAGCAATTATGTTTAAAGGACTGATGTTAACATTTCTGAAACTTTATAATTTAATTAGTTGTCAGATTATCAAAAGGCATTGAGTTTGTGATAGACATTTAAATAAATGCAAAGTATATAGTCATGTTGATGGCTGTTATAACTATATTCTTTGCTTAAATTTGTACCTTCAGCTAGTCTCTTGCTAGATGACTTTTGTACGTTCTAGTTTTCATCTTCATTTTAAAAAGATGGGGGGGGGGAGAAGCAAACTGCTACTCTAAAACTATTTCTTTTGATTGGTGTAACATGCCATAACAATCACATTAGATATCTAACAAAAAGATATAAGAAACCTTCTTTCCTTGTTTCTGCTCTTATTGAATTTTTATTAAATTGCTATAATTTTCCAGTGAACAGGTTCATCTACATCAAATGGATTTTCAGTCATGCATAAAAATCTAAAAGAGTTGTTTAAGATTTTCAAAAGCATTATCTTTAACTGTATAAAGGCCTGTGACACCTGGAGAAAATATTAGAAGTAACTTACTGGATGATCCCTCTGCAAATTGTTCCGCATCCTCTGTTTAATTTCAGTAGCTACTTCAGCATTCGTCTTTTCTAGTTTGCTTAAAATTTTGTTCACGTGGTTCCTGGTGACCTGCAGAAGTTTCTCCATAGTAGTCCAGAGTTCGTTAGGTTTGGACAAATCCAGTACAAGAACTGCAGCAAATGACCTATTAAAAAGCATTATTTGGTCAAATCTTTTGCTCATAAGACAGTTAACGTTTTCATAGACAACCATACCTGTAGTACAAATGGTGAAAGCAACAAATGTGAAAATAAAAATGCTAAGATAGAATTAAATATACCTATAAAGGGACATGGCTCTTTTAAGGACACTATGAGCTCTGAAGAAACCTTTCCATTGTCATGGAAAGACATACTTAGGATGGATTATGATGAGAAATGTTTACATATAAGCTCCTCGCCTCCCAACACCCTGCCTCCCAAAACTCTAACGGCCTTAAAGTGCAACTGTGAAGAAGAATGCAAATGCAGCCATTTGAATGGATGCAATCATTCTTTCACGTTCCATCCTGACTTGAAAAAGGAGTGGTATTAGAAAGACTACAAAGCAAAGTAAATGTCCAATTTCACTTTAAAATGCTGGGGGAAAAAATCTGGTGAAAGGTTTCTCGCTGAAACTAGATATAGTTCATGGAACTCTTAAATAAGCAAATTGTTTGACTATAGACAGATGAGAAAACCAGTGAAAAGCACTTATATTTAAGTCGAAATGGTAGAATTTTTGAGTAGTATGTTTAAATATTGCCTTGTGAACACAAGTGGTCTTAGAGAACAATGTTGCTATCTCATCAAAGAATCTTAAAATCATCCATATCAGAAGACATCTTATCAGTAAAAAGGGGCGAAAAGACTGATGGAGGTGGAGCTCAATTAAGTTCATTGAGGCAATAGTTTAAAAATTATAGTTGCTTTTTTCCCCAAGCTCTTCTAGAAACAAAAAAGCTTCACATGCCAGAAGTGGGATTTCTCCTTCTTAGTCTCTCACTAAGTAATGGCATTACCTCAATAGCCAAAACAGTAGCAAATGTACGTGATAAAAATTGTATCCCTCCATTTTTATTTTTTTATCACAGACGTTAAAACTCACTACCAAAGAAATTAAGCAATCCATCATAATACAAAACATATCTTTTGATCCTTTTCTCCCCTTCCGCTTTCAACTCCATCTTCCCTAACCAGAAAAAAACCAGAAAATGCACCCCATCACTTTCTCATTTCTTCATTCAACTCTTCTTCACGCATTTTTTCTTCCTATGCTATTCCATCACTTTTATGGATTTTTCCTCACTACACTCTCTTAATTCTCTCTAAGTTCCTGTTTCCTTTTGTCTTCAAATCATTTCAATAGTTTTAGTCCTTCACAGAAACATCATCTCTTTTGTATGGTTTTCTTCTCATCAGACGGTCACTTCACTTCCCAAAAATTCAGATTCTTTTTTTCACAGTTTTTTCCTTGTCTTTCACCCTAAAATACTGCCCTTCACAGAGATAGCATCTATGTTTGCATACAGAAGTAGGAAGCCAGATTTTTTTTTCATATGCCCCTAAATTGCTTTTTCTGCGCTTTCACTGAGCATAAAGATACTATGTTGTCTATTTTTCTGTATTGTTCTAGCTGGCTACTTGAGGCTAACCCGTCTCTGTCATGTTACTGCTTTCTCTTGTTGGACATTGCTACAAACTTGGCTTATTAGGATAGATCTGTGAAACGGAAGGTCAAAGCAGAGTATCAGTAGTAGTACCATGATGTTTAGAAAAATTCATAAATGTTCTGTCATACATATTGAAAGAGTTAAAGAGTTTCCCACAACAAAATGTTTAGAGATTTACTTATGTGTGAAAGAAAACTGATATTACCTTTGGAATTGTAATATTAATCACTTACCTTATGTTGTTGCTAGTGATTGGTATTCGAATCAGATCCAGTAATGAGGTTCCACCACCTAGTTCCCAAAAATGAGCTACATCTTTAGGCTGTAAGATAATTTTCTTCATGTTAGAAATGCGTACTTCCATGCAACACCAAGAGAAGATCTTCATCTGATAAACTGGCTTTTCACAAAAGTGACTCAGAACAAAAGGATATATTATTTCATTAGCATTTTCTAAAAAACAATACCAAACAAAAACTCCCCTATGTTCAAGAAATCCCATACACCACTTAGGAAAGACTCCTAGCATGCCTATGACTGTCTTGATAAATTACTATGGTAAAGTGAAAAAATCAGGAAGCAGTATGATTAATGATGAACATTAAAAAAAAAAGGTTCTCTTCTCTTTCTTTTTGTTTATTGCAGCTTGAGACTAATGCTTTTTGAGAAGTTTGGAAAAGTAATAAATCTCTACTTTCACATTTAGTTTCTCAGAAAAGTTTTAAGCGATTTTTATCTTTCAGGCAGAGTCAGATTTTCCACTCTCTACTTCAGTAATAGAAACAGCAATTACCTTCAGCAACAGTTATTGCTGCTGGGCAGTGTTGTGCTGTGATGGGAATGGGTTCAATATTTCTGTTAACATAATCTGCAGTGCAAAATTTAGCAATATGGATGTATAACCCAAAAACTTAATTATGACTTAATATCCTCTAAGATGACTGCTTCTCTTATAAAAATGGTTGTAAAGTATCTTCATCGGTTTGTACTCATTTTGCATTTTAAAGACAAAGTTAAAGGTGTGCATCCTATGTTACTCAAACATGACTAACAAGGTAGTTTTTAGAAATGACTCTGATCGCTTTGTGCTACACTTTGGTCTCTTATCTACTGCGTTTTCGTGAGAGGGAAAAACATTACAGATTAAAATACAAAATTATGCTAGCTAATTTTAATAAAGTGATATTCAAAACCCCCTTTCTTTCACAAACAGTAAGCTAAAAACCCTAAGGTTTATTACACATATAAATAAAACACTTTTGTGTGTGTGTGTATGTGTATGTATATAAAGATATAATAAATGGTAGTTTCTGGGTACTCACTGCATTGTGTCTCCTTGCCCTTCTTCCAAAAGTATATTCCAAGGCTAATGTTGGCTTCGGAATCTCTTCCCTATGCAAGGAAAAATAATTTCATTTTGTCAAGATCCTTTAAATAAAGAAAGTTAATGCTACTGTTACTAAATTATATTTATCAGTCAGTTCAGAATTTGGCTTAGAAACAGCAGTCCAGAGAGGACACTGTAAAACAACAGGTCTCAGTTGCTAAAGACTGGAGAAGGCAGCACCAATCGGAAAAGATGGCCATTGAAGCTCTCGAATACTGGAGACGAAGGACTGAAGGGGCCAGACGACAGGTAGTAATGAAGGGATATAAATTTATCCATAAGTGATTAACCAGTCACAGAAGACAACATCTGTATGCATATATTATCACACAATATAATTATTTATGTAAAATTCTAATCCACAGTTGAAAACTACTTTTAAAAATTTAAAACATACCTCTCAAGACACCTCAGTATAATGGTGGTCTTTCCCTGGAAATGAAGAACAAAGAACAACCCTACTGTAATGTCATTAAAGCACATAAGTTGTATTACTAGATGAAACTCATTCATTTAACATTCCAATAATAAAGTACCGGAAAAGCATAAACTCATATAATTGTTTGTAGTCTTATAGTGGAAACTTAACTGCCAACTTTCTGTCAGAATCAAGTTACACTACCATTATTATAATTATAAACTAATAGAGATGACAAATACAGTAATAGGAACACCGTGCTTAAAATTAGACATTAGTGATCAACCTGGCCAACTCTGTTAAACTGTTTAACAGTTTTTAATTATTAATAATACATTTATTTAATGCTTAGTTTCCACTGGAATTACATTATTACTGATGAGATGAAAATTTAAAAAATGCTTAAAATACAAATAAACATACAGAAAAGTATGTCTTTACAGTGTTGAAATTCAGACACTGAGTATCACGCCACACCGAAGGGGCTAGCACTTCTACAGTTTACTCCTGTGTCCTTTCCTATCCCAAAAACCAGTGAATTTCAGGTAAATCTGAAATCAGGTACAGTCACTGGATTTTCTCTGAAAAAGTATTTTAAAAATTGCTGATTCGAGGTTGTACATCTACCAATCCTTCTAAAATAAAAATTGTATTCTTAAAAAATTACTCACTTGGTCAAAAAGGCAAATATTTCCTTATTTACTTTTCAAATACATGCTAACAGAAAAAAAAATATAAAAGTACTAATGACCCACATTATGGGACAACAAGGTAAAACAACCTCGGACATGTGGAATCATGAGCCTGCAATCACTGATAATGCATGTTCAAATGCGTCTGACACAGATACAGATACAATTTATCGCAGGATGCCAAGGCCTCTTTTTACAGCAAAAGTGGTATCAATCAGTGCACTTAAATTGGATTGTTGCCAGTTAAACTTTTACAACAGGAAATTTGACATGTCAAAGAATTAATGAGGATAGCATTATTTCTGGCAGTTACTTTTACAAAAATTAATGAAGCCAAACCTCAAAGAATTAGCACATCATTGATAACAATGGTTGAAGCGTTGGCTCTCCAAACCATAAACCTGACCTTCTGAATTGTAATAATGTCTAATTGGTCCACATTCAGTGGAATGCTCACTCTGCAGAATCAGAACATGACATATTTTGTCTTTAGAAAAATTAAGTGAGCCACATATTTATCAGATATTTTCCCTGACACGAACTACGTTCAAAGCAAGCAATGAATCATATAGTATTTAGCGTTACCCCATTTTTGTTTCCCATAAATAGTACTGATTTTTCCCAAACTTCCACACGCTTCCCATCGTCGTCAGGGTTTTCTCTCTTCTCCACTTCAGCTATAGCAAGATCCCATAAAGTATCACTAGTTGGAAAAAACAAAAGAGCATCAATTAGAGAAAAACAATGGACCCTAGACCGTAATTCCTGAAAATATCCACACGGATAAATGAAAGGTATTGTGGTTTATTATATTACTGCTATTATTATTTCACATCACATGCCCTCAGCTTGTGGAAGGAACTTGTTCTAACAAAATCAGGTTAAGTAAAATTCCTCAGGTAACCCCTACAGGCATTTGTGCCACACGCCGAGTAAAATACCAGCTGTGTGGCGGGACGCTTTGTTTTGAGTGCATTTACTACAGAGTTGAAAGGTTTTCTAACGATTAAGGCTTTCCACAGCACCCTGCAGCTCAGGCTGGCGTCCTCCGGACCCGGGAGCTCTCGGACGCCGGCGGCGGAGGCGCCGGTCAGGGCCCGGTGGGCCCGGGAGGGCTCAGGACCCGCCCCCGGCCTCCCGCGGGAGTTACTGCTCGGGGTAAGGGGGGGGGGGGGGGCTCTCAGGCTCCCCCGGGGCCACCTGCGGGCCGGTGGGGGCGGCTTAGGCCTTCTCCTTTTTCTATGGGGTCCTTAAGAGGAGCAACCGGCTTCTCGCACCAAGGGCCAGGCGTGCCCCCATCCTGCCCCCGGCCCCGCTCGCTTTCGGGGCCAGAGGCCGAGACGGCCGCTTTTACACCTCCTTCCCTCCCTCCCTCCCTGCCTCCCTTCCTTCCTCCTCCAGGCTGTCCTCCCTGGCCGCCACCTCCTTCCCCACACGGCAGCGGAGGCGACGGGGGAAAGGGGGCTACCGAGCCCGGGCAGCGCTCCCCGTTACCTGGCCTTCGGCATCGCTGCTCCTCGGGGCCCGGGCCTGGCTCCCCGTCGCCATGGCAACCGCGCAGGGTACTCTGGGAGCTGTAGTTTCAGGGACGGTGCGGGGCGGGACGGAAATGGACGGAGGCCGCTTCCCAGCGGGCCCATGCCGCGGCCTCGCCCCGCCTTCCCGCCCGGCACCGGCGTTGACGGTGGGATGGCGGCGCTGTTTTCGCCTCAGCGCTGCCCGCTGCCGGCGGCGGTGCGGCGGGCGGGAGTTTTCTGTGGGGGTTGTCCGCGCCGCGGCGGGTTCAGCCGCCTCGGGGGGCCGCGGCCGCCGCGCCCCCGAGGTGAGTGCAGGCCCGCGGCGGGGCCGCCGGGGATCCCGCCCGCCCCCGGCGCCCCGGAGTTGTTCCTGGGACCCGCGGCTGCCTCTGTTTTTAGGGGGCTGAAAATGGCGCCCCACCTTGGCTACCAGAGAGAGCCGAGCTGGCGTGAGGGGTGGCAGAGCCGCCGTGTATACGCAACTACAAAAATCACTTGGTATGAGAAAATCAGTGTGATGATTTTTTTAGTCACTGGGGCATACAAATTGACTACTATAAATGTAACTAAAAGTAAGGTGCTGTAACAAACATGAAACGGGGGCTAGACTATTTCAAGTAAGATCTATCAAAGCTCAAATCCAAAGATCATGCTGTGGTTATATTAGAAAGCAGGATTTAAAAGGGTGCAGTAAGCCTGCAGGATGATCCAGTGTAGGAAGGCGATAGAGGATGTAGGTGAACCTGACACAAGTCAAAAGTGTCCCATGTCAGGGAATTGACCCAAAATCCAGGACTGCAATTACAGCTGACCTAGTGTAGCTGAGTAGCTGCTTTGTGTCTTGAGAGACTAGAGTTAGAAAATCCTAAGTAAAATCCTCTCTTACCTTGTTTAGTCAAAACTAGGAAACTGGCCTCATTCATCATGATTAACTCAGAATTAATTTTAACTTCTTCTTTCCCCAAAGAAGGCTTATGTAGCCTTCTGCAGACCCTAAGTAATACTTGTTCTTTAAATAAGCATTTTTTCTAAGTTTAACTTGCTTAATCACTCGGTTTCAGTTCCAGAAGCCTTTATATGGTTATTTCTCCCTATCTTTAGTTAATTCCAGTTTTTTACATGGATCTTCTAAAGCGTTTGCTAACCCCCTGTGGAAACCACGGTCTTGCTAATTAAAATGCAGAAACTTCGTTGTTTAGTGTTGTACAGTGGCAGGTCATGCTGATGCCTTTCTAAGTATGTTTCTTTCATCAATTTCATTTTAACAGAACGTTTCTGACATCTTGGTATATGTAGCTGGTGCTGATACGTAATCAGCAGTTAGAGGTGGTGAAAGCCCTGGACAAAGCTGCTATTGCTGTGCCAAAGAAAGCAAAACTAAGGTAGGAATTGCTCCTGGCACTGTGATCTAGGCATATAATACTGCAAGAGCAAGAGTGTAACACTAAAACTTGGAAGTATTTTTAGAGTAGTGTACTCACTGTCAGGGAAGTGGCAAATCTGGAAGATGCTGCAGTGCAAAACTGAGTTGGGAAGCACTGTGTCAGGGTGTAGAATCAGTAAGTTGTAGTCAAGTCCAATCTGGGAATGAAAGTGGAGTTTCCAGTATTTTAAGTTTCACCTTACTCAGTTTCATTTCATTTGCCCTAAGAAACTGTTAAGCCCCTCCCCCCCCCTTTTTTTCTTCCTAATTCATTACTGAGTTACTAATCACCTTAGTTAAAATTAACTGAAACTAATGGATTGCACTAAGCTGTATGGACTATTAAAGCTCTACCTAAAGCTTTAAGTGGTGCATTCCTTTATGCAAGGATGAATTTATTCCTTCAGGACCTAACCTATAAAAACTGTGTTAGTCTGACAAGGAACTCCAACACCAAATACCTGCCAGTCTTCCTTTATAGGGAAATACATGCATCTATTTTAAATTTAACTATAAACCAAATTTAAACCTAAAATAAGAGAAAAACACTAATTTTGTGGATTGTATTAAAATCTCAAAGCTTTATCATTTGCCCGCTGTACTAGAGGAGTGAATAGGTCTTGCTTGTTTTAGAAATGAGCAGTTTGCTTACTAATACTGCTGCACAAAAATTGACAAGGCAAAGTGAAGTTCAAGTAATATGTTAATTTACATTGCATTCCAAATATTATTTTCAAGCCAATCTAGTTGTATATACAGATAGTGATCTTTCATTGTCAAACTCAGATTCATCGACCATTTAAACTGATCATTGTTACCAACCGCTAGCTAAAAGCAAGCACAAAAGATGTTCTGAAATTAATGATAGAAGGTGAAGTCTCCTTGCATGTGCTAACGTGTTAATCTCATCCTGAGAATATTTTTATAACCTAGGTTCTGCAAGCTTTGAGCATGGGAAGTTCTTCAGCATCAGTCACAGAAGTAGCTTCTTGTTTGACAGCTCCCATCACATCATCACTGCTGAAAATTAGGTGAGAAAGGTCTAGTTCTTACCTGGGCTTTAGTCATAGAGTAGGTAGCATGGTGTGAATTGTTTTGGTGGATCACTCATAAGGCTCGGGCTGGATGGGTGAAGGCAGAACAGATTATCTGCCTGGACTCTGAAATTTTCAGCTTTGCTGTCTATGTTGTGTGGAACTAGATTAACAGGGAACAAGTTCCCCTGAGACTTGCGTAACTGTGTTTGGAAGCTGAGCTGTTGAAGTGTGCTTGTGTGTGTATGAGACTTTACTTGCTGACTCTGTTAACTTGAAGGGAAGCGTCTGCTTGAGGAGGTCACTATCATACTACCAAAACCTCACTCTTGCTAATCAAAATCCTGGAAGAAACTTCATTGTTTAGTGTAGCGTTGTCATGGTAACTGTGATTCTGAGCACATTTATTTCATAAAAATTAACACAGCATTTCTCATAATGTGGGATTAATGGTGACCTATAATGAGCAGTTAGTGGTAGTAAGTCTGGAAAGTGCTGCCAAAAAAGGGGAAACAAAGGCATGGATTGCTTCTGTCAATATGATGTAGGGATATACTGCAGCAGCAAGAGCTCAGCAATAAAAAGCAAAGCAATGTCTAGAGTTATCTACACAAAGGCAGGCAGGAACATCATACTGTACTTCACAGATTATATACTGCTTTATAAAACAGCTGTTTGTAGGGCTGTATTAATGAAAACTGTGTAAAAGACTCAAAATCTGCACATCAGCTGTTTGTATTGTGTATCGTGTTGTCTCCAAATTTACCAAAGATTTAAAAAACTACATGAAAAAGCTCACTAGCAAAATGCTCCACTTTTTTTTTTTTTTTTTGCCTTCTAATAGAACCTGATCTGCCACATTCACTTAAAACTGGATAATTAGAAAAGAATTACTAGCTGGAGTATTCTAGATTGACAGTTATCGTCATTTCACAATGACATGAAGATTTTTGTATTTGTAAACTGAACTTTCTAATCGTATTTGAGAAACTTTAGACTACAACCTGAGTATAACTGATGCAGTAGCATCTGTTTGAATTTGCAAACACCCTGCCCCCTCAAATCTCTGAAAGTTAACTATTCTGCTGATTGCAAAGGGATGTTAATTCCTAACTCAATTTCATTATGGTATCTGCATCACTTCATGTGAGGTGCTGCACGAAAAGATGCTGCAGTTGGTGTCAAGGTCTCTTGTAGCTTCCAATATGCTTTCCTTCACGATGGCAGGAAATCGGCTGCCCACCCGGAGGTAAACCTCCTGCTGCTGGCCCTGCCTCCTTGAAAGAAAAGGATCTAGTGCCACAACCACCACCAAAGGGTAAAAGTTACTAGGGCGCTCTTCCCGCATTGCAAATGTGAAAGCATATACTATCTTGTTATTTGCTTGTAATTTTCAAGACAAAGCATTAGCCCACAGTACCGCTCATAAAATGATGCTTGAGTCCTGCAGACTTAAGTAGCTGTGGCAGCACTGACAGCTTGCAGAAGAAATGTGTTTATCAAGTCATCTTGCCAATTTGTCTTTCCACAACCTGTATGTCCCTTCCAATCTATTTTAATTCTTCAGGATACTCCCTACCTTTCATAGAGGGCAAACAGCTGAAAAGCCGTTTTCTTTCTATATGAGTATGTATATATCTGAAATGTTTAAATGTCATAAAACAAAGGAGATTTTCAACCTTCCAATATTAAAATTCATCATTGTCAAATTACTTCAGTTTTAGGTAATTAAAAAACTCTAAAATGATGAGGGGTAGCAGTAAGGGATTAATGATCCATGATCACTAGCATGAACCAAAGTGGAAATTGTGAAATGTATATAAATCGATGATTTGTCTTTGACTACCTTCTCTACAGTTGGATGTGAATTATCTATTAGAGTATGCTGCTGATCCATTTCAGAGCATGCAGAGATGGTTTTCTTGCATAGAAATGAAAATGTGAGGGTTGGAAGAAAAAACGGGTGTAATTTCTATATACTTAACCCTATGTAGCACTGAGGCTTGCAGGTGAAAAAGGCAAACAGAAGGTGCTCCCAGGTGCAGTAGTGCAGATGCAGCATTATGTCTTCAGTATGCAAGAACATTATATTCTTATTATGATATGAAATGTATAGATACAAATAAACCCCAAAAAGTACAACTTTTACAAAATATTATTCTGAATCATTGTATATACATTATAAACATTATACATGGAGGTTATGTCACATATGTCTCCAAGTTTAGACAACAATTCAAGCAATGTCTTCCTGTGTTATTCTTGTGTTTTCAATTGTGAGTCATTCTTGCATCTGTATTATATTATTATTATGGATTAAAAAACAAATTAGGTATGGGATCTCGTTTAACAAAACTATACTGTCCAATTTAGATTTTTCCAAAAGGCTGGGGCAGAGAGGGTTTATTTAGAAATTTACCAGACCAAAGCTGCAGATTTGCCAAGTAAAATAGCTGTATAACAAAGGCTAGAGTGTATCATGAGAATATGCTTTAGATTTATAATAGTTACATGATGTGCTTATGTTTTTTTTTAAAGGGGAAACAATTATACAA